AAACCAATTGATAGTTCAAAGATTATTTTGGAAAATAACATCCCCCTGCCTTAGAAATGTCTAGACCAGTGTTTCTCAACCTTGTCAACTTGAAGATGTCTGGACTTTAACTCCCAGAATTCGCCAGCCAGCATTCGCTGGCTGGGGAATTCTGGGAGTTAAAGTCCAGACATCTTCAAGTTGACAAGGTTGAGAAACACTGGTCTAGTAGCTGGGGACCGCTGCTGTAGCACGCCTGTCCCTTGCAGACTCTGATTGTGAGCCTTCCATTAGTCTATTGCCATGATGGTGAATCTATGCGACGCATGCCCAAAGTGGCTTGGAGAGCTGTGTCGCCTAGCACGCGTGGCATCGTCCGTTCCTCTTCTGGGTTTCTAGCATGCACACGCGCGACGGTCAGCTGGCCTTTGTCCATGCAGTCCTAGTCCTAGAAACTGGAAGAAGCTGGTCTTCCATTTTCTGGCATGCATGGACACGCCGGTCATTTTCCGGTGCATGCGTGCCCCCTGGGCACCTCCTCTTCCAGGTAGCGGCCCAGACAAGTGCGTGAAGCAAAGGCGCGCACGCTCCCTTTTCAGCACTCAGCACCGTAAAGGTTCACCATCACTGGTTTATTGTGTTGAGATGGTTATTTTTGGGTGACTATTCTATCGAAACTAGTCCATGGGATTTTTCTGCGTGTGTTAGTTCCTCTGGAATGTTGTCTTGTTTTGGTGCTTTAATATCTCTTTCCTCCCTGGTAGAATGATTTACGGTCTGGATCCACACATTGCATCGATCCATCCTGTGTAAACCTGGTCATGCTTGTTCTGTATGTTGCTTACTAATCCTTGGTATAATTAGATGTTGGATACAGGGTTTCCAGTTAAGCAGTCAACAAGATGCCACTGTAGCTTCTCAGTTATTTCTTAGCTCTTTTGCATACCATGTTGGCTTGTCAGGAATTGTCGGTTTGTGTATAACTGTATGAATCCATGTTGGAACAGTCCTTTCTTGAAATCCTTTCCTGTAGCTCATTTATGTGAGCAGTCAGAGAAAATAACGACGGTCACCTTGCGAAGCCATGATGGGGTTGGGTGGAATTGGGTTGGATTGGACTTTTCTTATCCTTCCAAAGTGAGAGCAGGGTTCATTCTGAGGACAGATGTTAAGAACTCCTTAAGGGATGAAATGAGCATCTTAAACACCTGCAAGAAAGAGAGAAGAAGGGGATAAAAATTTAAGAAGCAATCAGAAGTCTGAAGCCCACAGTGCCTCCAGGGGGCATTTTGGGGGATCCAAAATTAGACCTTCTAATTTGTTCAAATAATTTCAGTTGTTGGTTGACCCCCTAAAAAGGTTCATATTTTATTTTGAGTAAGCTACCTTGAGTATCACATGCATAGCAAGGTAGAGTATGAACTAATGAGGATAATGAATAATTGTTTTTTCTAGCAATGTCATAGATACATTCCCTTGTATGCAAAATATGGGTCCTTTCCAGAGGTGGGTTGCTACCGGTTTGCACCGCTTCAATCGAACCGGTAGGCGTATTTTAGCCTTGGTTTGAGAACCAGCTGCGACCCAGGCTGGCCACGCCCCTGAACCGGTTCCCTGGTTTCTGCTGCCATTGCCGGCATGTTTTTTTAGAACTTTTTTCATGTTCTGCGCATGCAGACAATTTACAGAACAATTTACAGTCAACTGTGCACGCGTGAAGTGAACTGGCAGCAACTCACCCCTGGTCCTTTCATTTAGCTGCAGTGCTTTTGGAGATGTGCTTTTATCCCCAAAAAACCTGTGTGCTGTGTTCAGAAACCCTTGCGGTGAGAAGGAAAGTAATAGTTTTTTTATGAGGATGGCTTAGCAACCTTTGCCAGCAACGAGTGCTGAAAATACCTACAGTTGTCTTCACTTGTGGGTTACACACAGCTTGCTATTGGTTTGGATTTGGGTTCCTTCTTGGAATTTGGGTTCCTTTTTTGGATTTGGGTAGCAAAACAACGGTGTGTGTGTGTCTGTGTGTGTGTGTGTGTGTGTGTTGTATTTGTGCTGATAAATAAATAAAGGGAGACTAGTATAGATCTTAATGGCTTAATGGTTAACACATCTGCCTAAGATGCAATACAGCACAGGTTTTAATCCCAGTAAGGGTATGGCTAGCTGATGAGAGCTAAATAGCTTGAAATAGATCTATACTAGTCTCCCTTTATTTATGTATGTATGTATGTATGTATGTATGTATGTATGTATGTATGTATGTATGTATGTATGTTAGAAAGTAGCACAATAACAG